GCTCCTCGTCTGAGGAAGAGATGGGGCTTCCTGCAGCTCTGCCCACAGGGGCACTGCACTTCTCGCTCGCCTTCACTTCAACACCTGGGGTTCAGGGGAAACCCTGCGTCCTGTAATGACCAGTGGGTGACAGTGAATCCACGTGTGGTAGGATTGCCAATAAAAACATAAGTTTGGAAAACAATGCTGTCTTTATTATTCAAACACCTTACTTGATGCCCCACTGCCACGTGGGGCCTTGCTTGAGCCAGATCCATCCTCCACGTGGGTGTTGGCTGGCTGTGGTGTGAAGGATACACTGAATCCACTTGACAGAACAGCACAATAAGTTATTGGCTAATAACAAAGTGAAAAGGAATCTGAACTTGGCTTCTGGTGATTGATGTTACTAGAAACTGATGCTTTCCCTGTTCAGGTCATTGATAGCCTGTGTTTGGATTTTCTTTTAGCGAATACAAGGTCTGGGAAGAGAGACGATAGTAGTGAAGAACGTAGAAACAAAGAGTCTGATCCTAGGACTGTGGCGGTTTTGCCACAAAAGCACTAGCTGATGTGTCCTGGTAGTCAGGGCAGGGAAATTGAGCCTAGACAAGCTCTCTGAGTATCAGGAAAAAAGCTAATAAATATGGGCAAAAATAATGTATCTAAAAGATGGTGATTTGTTGCTATATGGCAAACGTAGGAAACTTCAAACTGAGCTTTTGTGTGTTCTCCATCTCTTTTTTCATAGGGATTGTTTTAAAGAATGTGGAGGAATGGTCCCTGAAACTTTTTGAGTTCCTTACCTTTCTCTTTTGGCCATGATCAAATGCTTGGAGGAAGACGTGAGAGCCAGGTTACGCTCTGGAGTGGCCATCAAGACTCTGGGCCAGTGTGTTGAGGAGCTTGTCCTCAACAGCATTGATGCTGAAGCAACATGTGTGGCCATCAGGGTGGATCTGGACACCTTTAGGATCCAAGTGGTGGACAATGGCTTTGGGATAGGGCGAGAAGACCTAAATACAGTGGGGAATCGCTATTTTACCAGTAAATGCAGCTCAGTAGAGGATTTAGAGAACCTGAAATTTTATGGCTTCCGAGGAGAAGCTTTGTCAAGTATAGCAAATATGGCCAGCGTAGTGGAAATTTCATCTAAGACCAACAAGACAGTTAAAACCTTCACAAAACTGTTTCAAAATGGGAAACCAATGGAAGTCTGTGAAGCTGAACTGACTAGACCAAGTAGTGGAACAACAGTGACTGTGTGTAATCTTTTCTACCAGTTACCAGTGAGGAGGAAGTGCATGGATCCCATCCTGGAATTTGAGAGAGTAAGGCAGAAGGTAGAAGCTCTTGCACTCATGCATCCTTCTGTCTCTTTTTCCTTAAGAAACGATGCTTCCTGCTGTATGGTGCTTCAGCTCTCCAAAGCAAAAGACATTTGTTCCCGCTTTTGTCAAATTTATGGACTGGGTAGATCACAGAAGTTACGTGAAATAAATCATAAGTGTGGAGGATTTGAGCTGAGTGGCTATATTAGTTCAGAAGGGCATTACAATAAAAATCTGCAGTTTTTGTATGTGAATAATAGACTGGTTTTAAAAACAAGATTACATAAACTCATTGATTTTTTATTAAGGAAAGAAAGTGTTATTTGCAAGACAAAATTTAGCTTTGCTGGCAGACAAATGAGTTCAAGTCCTGCTCGACATCGGTGTGGTCCAGAGCTCTATGGAATATTTGTTGTCAATGTGCAGTGTCAATACTGTGAGTATGACGTGTGTCTGGAGCCTGCAAAAACACTGATTGAATTCCGAAACTGGGACAGTCTTCTAGCTTGTGTTGAGGAAGGGGTGAAAGCATTTTTAAAACGAGAACACTTATTTATTGAACCGTCTAGTGAAGACATCAAAGAATTTAATGAAAATAATGACTTTTGTTTGTATAGTGCCACAATAAAACCTATGCTCATTGAAGAGACAAGTATGAAGGACAATTTTAAGAAAGCATGTGAAAATATTGCGGATTCCTATGAAATATTTAACTTGCAATCAAAAGACATCAAAAGAAAAGCAACTACTGGAAAAAAATCTTCAGATCCCTTATATTCAAATGACAAAGCTGAGGAAATGGAAGTTTTCTCAGATGTAACCATTGCTGAACCAATTAACACATTTAAGAGTAGTAAAACTAAGACTCTTTCATTCAGCAAAGATGACACTACTACTGAAATCCCAGAGCAAGATCCAGAAGAATTTAACAGTTTCCAAATGGCATCTGGTCACAAATCTTCAGAAAATTTCTGTGGAGAGTCCAGATCAGAAATAATAGAAATAGACAATTGTGATGAAACGCCATGTTGTACTGAAAATTACGTACAAGTTGCAAGAAGCCATCGTAACAAAGCGGCTCTAAAAAGCAACAGCACCATTGCTTTCAGACATTATGTCACTCAAGGGCAGCAGAAGGGAATGAAAATTTCTACTGAAATAGCTGAAGGGCCAGAAATCCTTGTTGGAAGGGCATCCACGGGAATATGTACTACAACAAAAGAAAGCCGTGGAAATACTAAAAGAACATATACCTCTGGTGGACAAAATGTAATTAGATCAGGACTGTTAAAGTTGTGTTCCACGGGGCTTATAACTCATGTTGTGCAAAATCAGTCACTACCTGAACAAACTGAAATGAACTGTTCATTAAGCATGCCTTTTAGACCTGGTCCTGTAAGTGCCAAGGATATATTTAGAAACAAGACTGTTTATTCACTTCCATCTCTAAATATTCGAGATGTTTCTAGTAGTCTAAATAAAGACAATCCTATCCTATCCAATAGAGAAGTGTGCAGAACAAATGCAGAGGAGAAGTTGGAAAATGAGACTGTATCAAATCAGAGGAATAAAGAAGTAGCTTTCTGTATAGCAGGTAGTAGAAGGGATTGTGTGAGATCACACACTAATGAGTTGCCTCTGATCACTTCCTCAGGTGATGTTACAAACTACAGAAGGCAAATGGTTGAGCTCTCTGGTTGGTCTGTACCCCGAGCTTATAAGAAGCTGAGTTTGTCCACACAGGCAGGATCATTAGAGAGATTTAGGAGACATTATGGAAAGCCCAGGAGTGAACCATCAATATCTATTTCAGAGAAGAGGAGTGAATTTGGGCTCCCAGTTGAGTTCAGTACTCCAATTGATCTTGACACTTCCAAAAATCAGAATAATAATACTGAATGCTTTAGTATTTGTGAAACGCCAACTGTGGAACATACTCATTCTAATAATAGTTGCCAATCTGGTTGCTTTCCTTCCTTGGAGAGGACTCAGTTCTGTGGTACAGGCGTTTTGTTAGACAGACAAACTTGTGAGAGAGAGAGTCCTTTGACACTGACCAATTACTGTCAGAGTAGAAGGAAAAATAAAAGCAACAGTAGATCTCCAGGGTCCCTGGCCTCTAAAATATCTAGAATGAAAGGGGATCATGAAGATCCAGAAGTTGTGGGGCAGCTTGAGCAACAATCCCAAATGGATTTAAGCAGAAAAGATGATACCGGGAAACTTCTGTCTCAAAGTGAAAGTGATCATTTATTGCAGAGTTCTTATGAAATGTGTCAAAATTCCTCACAAGAAGCAGAGGTAGGTGGGCATGGTTGCCTCTCTTTAGCCTCTGACGAGATGAATATCCCCCAGAAAATGCACTGTATGAGAGCAGGGGCCATGGAAAATACTGTCAGCCACACCAGCAATGAGGATCTATGCAGTGGTTTGGCATTGCCTGGTAAAAAGGTTTGGTCTGAAGATGCTTGTCAAGATCAAAGTGTTTTACATGTGTTTTCAGAGCAGAATTTGAAAGCTACTCAGCTTCCAAGTGTGACCTTACCAGATAGCTCGGCAGTCTCTCCAGATGTTACAAACATGGCTAAACGTGTGAACGAGGATTCGTTATCATGTGCTTCTGACTGGTTGCAACATTTTGATGTTTCCTTGGGTAAGACAGTTTACATCAACAAAACAACTGGGCTAAGTACCTACAGCACTCCTCCCACTGAAGAAGTTCAAGCTGCTTGCACAAAAGATATAACTACTATGGCTGTGAACGTTGTCTTAGAGAGTGGTAAGAACATGGTGCTTAATTTTGTTGCAAAGCAAGAATAATGTGAACTGCATAAAGACTCGCATATACAAACTGTTAAATTACACTAATTGATTGCAGGTGGAAGGAGGTGAGAATAATGATGTATCTTCTTAAATCTGTGATACACACTTAGCAATTTAATTTCTTCAAGTAAATACATTTTGTTATTTCATTATTGTTCCACAGAGAATGGGGGCCTGAACTGTACCAAAGGAGATTGGATGAAATGTGTACCATGGGCTGCAGGTCTAGGTCACTTTCTATCCTAATCCTGGTAATAGTGTAGGGTCATAATATGCTGCTTAAATCACTCCTGTAAGGATTGGAACAGGCCGTTGGGCTAATTCTGGTACTTCGCATAGTCTCAGTAACTTTAACTTTCCATAAGCTTATTCATGGTCTCTATTTATTTGTTTATTATTATACAAAGTGTTAATATGAGTAACAGCAAACTGATAGTGCCAGTTCACCTGAATATGGGGTAGGAATGGGCATTTTTGTATTTGGTATATTGGGGGCTTTTCTATGGTTTTTTCTGTCCTTTCAGAAAAATACTTTCAATTGCAACCGTTCTGGAAATAATCCTGATTGATTAAAGGAGTAACATGCTCTTAAGAATCCCTGGTATGCAGACTCTCCAATAATGTCAGCCATCTCAGAAGTATTATTCACTTTTATGTCTGTGTAAGCACAGGGCACCCCTTGCCTCCCTTAGACAGCACTGGTATGTGTAGCAAAGGCCAGAAAAGAGGCAAATTATGCCATATTTTGTAAACCTCTGGTTTAAAACGTACTAATGATTATTGCCCTGTTTCATATATATAGAAGGTCATTCAGTACTCTCAGGTTATGAAATTTGTCAGGATGGGGCCCTTACTGAGGTCAAAGTTGAAATGGTATAAATTAAGTTAAAGAAACAGATGTCTTCTGTGGCGTGTGATCAGCTATGCTGTGACATGTCATGGCACAGCTGATTGAGCTCCACACACATCCCCGTGTGCCACACCCCAACTTGTAGCACATTTGCAAGCAGGGAAAAAAACTGCTTGCAGACACACTCCCCCACTACCCAACATATGAACAAATATGTATAATTTTCACCATACTTTGCATGGGAAGGTATTGTATTATGAATCTTAATCTTCATTCAAATCCTTCCTCAAAATGTACTTTTTCTACCAAATTGGCCAGTGTTTTCCCAGTCACATTAGAAATGATATTAGGTAGCTATATTTGTTTATTTTTAAATGCATTTCCCAGGGCTGACCTCTGGCTGGCCATTCAGAGCATCCAGCATATTTAATTATTATTTTTCCAGTTTTAACTGCAAACTCTATGGGGCAGCACAAGGCCTTCCTCTCTGTTGTACAGGGATGAGCACACTAATGTCTTTGTTTATAAATATGTGAATACCACAGCCCTCTAAATATTTCTTTTAGCTTTCTGCCAGCTGTTAAACTTGCTGCAGTAAATTTTTGTTGTGTATTCAGGGTTTCAGTGCAGGTGCTATCCCTTTAGAAGTGAGCTTGTTCTACCCTTCCTTCCTAGACCTCGAGAAGAGAGGATTCTAGCAAGCCAGCATTCCAGAGGTAGGGTCATTTTGCCAGGACATAGAGTACTATGTTAAAAACAAACCCAAGAATTCTTCCAGCTGTCCTGACAGGAACTCATAGTTACTCAAGGTCTGTTAACAATGGGACTGTGAGTCATTTTGTGTGTGTCTGAGAATATACTAAAGAATTAGAGTTGAAGTCTGTTAGGGGGTGCTTATTTACAGGACAAAGTGCCCAGTTCTCTGTAAAATCATGTTAACAGTTTAAAGAGCAGTTATCCAGCCAGAGAACAGAAAAATGGGTTTTATTCTTCGGATTCTCTTCCTTAACAAGGGGTGAAATCACCACTTTGGTATGTGTCTTTATCCAGTGGGAGTGGGTAGCTGAGGTTTATCCATCTTTTTCTTTTTTTCTTTTCAGGGAGTGTTGGATTGTGCTGCAGTGTGTATAATATTGAAATCAGACAAGTTTCCTAGAGTTCTAGTCCCAACAGACAGTAAGAAGGCACAATCCTGCATTCCCTTGTTAACCTGTTTTCCTCAAGAATAAAAAGACTAATGTGAAATTGGGGTGGGGGGGAACTTGGTGGGAGTGAACAATGAATACACCTTCTGCTGACATTCCTTTCTGTGCCTATGAATCCATGTTTTACATATGTTCTCTCCTAGAAGCTGATGCTGATTCTCTCCAGTCCTTGTTGTCCGGCTGGGATAATCCCATATTTGCTCGCTACCCAGAAGTAGGTATTATTTTGCATCCAGAGTTGCAGGGTGGGGTCATCTCAGTCTCATCTTCTGTTATGTTGTGACTTTTGGATCAGAATGGCAAGTGCTAGAACCACTGTGCATATTTAGTCTGTTATACATGTGCCTAGAGACTTGATTATACAGGTGTTTATACAGTAGTCCCATTTTTTGAATTTATCCAGATTAAGACAAGCTAGTATTATGGATGATCCTGTACCTCATGTTTTTTGGAAATGATAATGTTGTGTAGGCTATGTCTGTTACTACAGAAGTCACAGCATCTGATGAAGAGCTTCAACTCATGAAAGCTTGTACTGTGTATATATGTGTTTACACAAACACACACATTTTGGTTAGTATATAAGGTGCAAATCTACCCTGTCTTCTGCTTGACTACAGACTAACATGGCTAAGTATTTCTAACTACAGAACTAGCTATCCTGATGAAAGATAAAACACTGTTCCATAGCATGATTTAGGATAGTTTCTGTCCTTTTTAGGGAGGAGAAAAACAAGCAAATTTATGTTTGTTACATGAGTAATAACTGGGTATCAAAAACATATTTGACTTGGGTTATTTTTATAATATTGGCAGGATGATAATATGCCAGGGAAAATAAAAGTTGGAGCTTTTAGAGCTACATCCTGTGTAGTTATGGGGTAATGTCATCTTTAATCAATGTGTATGTGTGAACATACAGTTTTAGTCAGGATGTACAATATGTACATAACTATTTCCACCTGTATACAATTGAGATGGAATAGCAAACCACCTGCTGCTAGGTTTCCAAAAGGGAACAATTCTTTAGCAAATTTGTTACAGTAACATGAATTCTTGCGTCATTCTGGGATAATTCATCTTCCTTCATGTGCAACGCATTTAATGTGTATGTGTAGGCTGATAACTAATTTCAGGTTGTCTAATGGCTTTTCATTGAAATAGCTCTTATTATCCAGATGTGTGTGAGTGCTGAAGTGGGAGCAGAGGGACTGCCAGATGGTATTTTGAATTAGTGCTGTTCTTATTAGAAGAATCAGTGTACCAGGTACAGAGGAACCCATTTCTAGAATGGTCTTACTCAAAGTTGGCAATGATTTTTGTGACCTTAAATTCACAAGTCATGCTTGTATTCTAAAAATGATTTGTGGTGTTCTGTTTCATAGGTTGCTGTTGATGTGAGTAGTAGCCAGGCTGGGAAACTGGCTGTGAAAGTTCATAATATCTTGTATCCCTATCGTTTCACCAAGGAGATGATTCATTCAATGCAGGTAATGTAAGAGTTGATAAGTGCTTTTTGTAAACAGCTGTATTTCAAAAGCCACAGCCAAATAGGATGTGTGAGCCTTTCCACTGAGTGGGAGAGACAGAGAAATAAATAACACCCTTTATCTGCAAAAAAACCCCAACATTTTTGATTTGTGTGAGGAGAGGCAACAGATAGGCTTATCAAGCCAGATCTTGAGACCATCTCTTAGATGACTGTAAACAGTTATCTGTAGAGTGATTCTAAAGTGGTTGGGTTTAAAGCTAGTTAAGACAAGAAGCAGCCTTGCTATTGCTGCTTTGTAATATGCAGTATTATCACTGACATTGTTTAAGTAATGTATCATCTGACAGGTTTTTAGCTACTTATTATGGCTATTTGCTTAATTTGTTATCTCTGATAACTGCGTTTTGTGCATTTTCAAATGATTTTGTCTGAACAATGTTGACCTTCAGCTGAGCAGTTTCAGTAACAAGTCACAGATCTTAAATAAGGACTTTAAATTTCATCTTAGAGTGTAGGTCAGTCAGATTCTAACAAAGGCATCATAAACGTGGAGCTCAACCATATCTCAATGATTCTTTATCAAAAGTTTTGTTTGTAAACTGAAAAAATTAATGCTGAATACACTCAAATCTAAGGCAACTCTGAATTTAAGATGACCCCCCATAATAGTTTATATATGTGGAACGTGTATAAATTTGTTATAATTTTCCAAGCACCGAAACTAATTATTGGAGGGTTGTCTTGAATATGTCTCCCCTCCGCCACTGCTACAGCAGGGAAAGCAATAGCTGCGGGTTGCGGGGGGGTTCAGGTTGCCCCCTTCTCTGCCCCCTCACTTCTCCCTGCAGCCTTTCTGTCCCCCCTGCCACCTACACCTGCCCATCCCCAGCTCCCCCTAGTCTCTGCCTCTTTCCCCCACAGTGCTGTAGGTATAGTGTATCTGGCCTTCAGCAAGGCTTTTGACAAGGTCCTGCATGATGTTTTGTAAGCAAATTGGAAAAATGTGAGCTGGATAAAACTACTATAAGGTGGATAGACAACTGGCTCAATAGCCACAAGCAAAAGGTACAGTAATTATTAATCAGTCCATGTCAGAATGGCAGGAGGCTTCAAATGGAGTCCTACAGGGATCTGTCCTGGGCATGGTGCTGTTCAGCATATTTATTAACAATTTGGATGCTGGCATAGAAAGCTTCTTGAGTGAGTTTGCAAATGACAAGAAACTGGAAAAGATTGGGAACATATTGGAGGATGTGAGCAAAATTCAGAAGGATCTTGACAAATTGGAAAGCTGGGCTAGAGCTAAGAGGATGAAATCCAATGTGGACAAATGCAAGGTACTACACCTTGGAAGGAATAATCAAAAAAACAAATATAAAAGACACCTGACTGGGTGGCAGCACTATGGAAAAGGACTTAGGAGTCTTGGTAGATCACAGACTCAGTGCGAGTCTGCAGTGGATGCAGCCACACAAAAGGCAAATGCAGTTTGGGGCTGCATTGATAGAAGCATTATGTGCAAGACTTGGGAGGTGATAGTGCCTCTATTTGGCATTGGTCAGGCCTCAACTGGAGTACCATGTGCAGTTATAGGCTTCATGTTTTAAAAAGGACATGGAGAAGTTAGAGAGGGTCCAGAGGCAGGCAACAAAGATGATCAAGGGCTTGAAAGGCAAGTCATATGAGGAGAGGCTGAAGGAGCTAGGCATGTTCAGCTTGTGGAAAAGGTGCTTAAGTGGGGACATGATAGCAGTCTTCAGACATTTGAAGGGCTGCTATAAAGAAGGAAAGCAGCTTTTCTGTCGTTGCAGAGAGGAGGACGTGGACCAATAGCTTGAAGTTGCAACAAAGTAAGTTTAAACCGGGTATCAGGAAAAATATTCTTTACTGTTAGGACAGCAAGACAGTGGAACAGACTGCCTAGGGAAGTTGTGGACTCTCCATCATTGAAGAAGAGGTTGGACAGCCATTGGTCAGGGATGACCTAGGCATAGTTGTGCCTATGTTCTACTATGGGTATTTCCCGTGCTTCTGGGCACCCCTTTCTG